TTTAGGGGAGGGTTGCATCGTGTGTGGCTTTTCCAGAACACCGATAAGCATACACACGCGTACACACCGCTCATTGTCCTCCATCGATGCGGCACATGACATACGTACCGACTCTCCCGCGGTCGACCCATCGATGGATCGCCCACCGCCTTTTTCGCGTTGTTGGCCTTGGTCTCGCAGGCTTCCGGAACACTTGACGCTTCCGGGCAAGGGGTGCCGGGATCAGCAGCAACATCGGGGGTGAGTTCCGTACGACGGTCTCTTCTCTTGCCGCAGGCAATGGTGCTGACGGTGGTGGTTGTTGTCGTATCGATGCTAATGCTGGGTGCTAGGGGTGTTGGTGTTGTTGGAGCTTGATTCGAACGCTGATTATTGATGCAAAGTGCTTGGACGTTTTCCTGAATCGCAAGACTCGTGTCGGTGCAACCCACGCCTGTCACCATGCCTGTCCTTCTTGTCGTTCGGAGTTTGGTGTTGTTGATGGACGTGGATTGTGAGCTTAACTCTTGGCTTTTGCTGTTGACTCTCGTTGGCAGGTTATGCCGATAATGAAGAGCTTGTCGGTGGTGGTGATGCCCACGCACATGCATCCTGGAGCGGCGGCTCCGATGGCACCTGGCACCATGTCAGCATACTTCGACCAGATCGAGGTACGATAAGATTTTCTTTCTGGTGTTTGAACACACCTTTTCTTGTTAATAAGACAATAATGATATCGCGGTATGCTGCTGGGGGATCGTAGACACACAGGCAGTGCTCTGCTAGCGCAGATAATTTAATACATAACCCCCCCCGGTGTTTGCCATCGGGGTTGGGTTTTCGTCGCTTGGCAACGACGTTGTAAAACAAGCCAATTCACTTCGTGAACTCGGCAACCAGGTTACCGTTTTTCTTTTTACCTCCGTTTTTTTTTTGGCGGTAACCATAATGGTAGTCGAGTAGATCATGTTGTGCGGGGTGGAGAACCCTCACTCCGCGCAAGGGGGATGATCGCACCACGTTGTGTCAAAATGGTCAAGCACCCTCGAGGCAGTTACACAGTGCTTACAACTGTCTCTGGAAGTGAAAGCACCAGAAAGTAAATTAATTCATACGTAGCTGTCATCCGCACGCAAGGAAGTAAGCACAAGATGCCGAACACCCTTAGCAGGATGCAGCGCACCCTTCATGCGACTCGCCGAATATCTCACGGCGCTTCGCGCTTGGTGATGTGAGAGCCTGGTCCGGTGAGAACCCGGCGTGCTCCGTCCCGGCTTTGTAGGGATGCGAGGTCAATGGTCTAACGACTACGGCATGCACGACTATGAGTACACCCCCCCGTCCCCCCCCGTCCCCCCTCAGGGCTATAGACCCTTATGTTTGGAGAGAGATGGATTATTTGTGTTTTATTTAGGGGTTGAAGACAAGCTATTTTGACGCTGGCTCTTTTTCCGTACAGAAATCCAAATTATCGAAAGAAAGCAGCCTGGCCGCCGTCTAGATGTTTTACGTTCTTCTGCTGTGATCAGTACAGGACACCATGAAGAAGCGTCCTGTGTGTGCTGGCACGTTCAGGTTTGCTACTCGAGCTGAAATATCGAAGGTCGTAAGCAGTCTTTGAAAGCAGTCCGTAATCTGCGCCAGAACCCAATTATTTGTCGCAGCCGTGAAATGCTTCAGCAGGCGCTACTGCCGCCCTGCGCGAGAAGTAGCGCGTTTCCGTTTCCCGGACTCCTTCCGACTGGTCTTGTGTGTTTCGTGTGCGTGTGTTTTGTGGTGCTCTTCCGTTTTCTGTTTCAAAACTACATCGTCAAAACACGAAAGTTGCTTGTCTGCAGGCCCTTACGAAAAGTAGAATCTTTTGAGGTTGTCTTGGCACCACATTTTTTTTTCCGATACCTGCCCAGTACCTTGCTCGGTTTGTCAGTCGTCGGTCTGGCGGTCACCGCGTTGGATTGGATCGGTACCAGGAGCGTTGGGGTTTGTGCTGAATAGAGAGCTCAGCAACTTCCCCCAAGTTGACGACAACGGTTGCACCAACACCATGCACTCCTATCTTGCCGTAGAGCCTATCAAGATCTCCCCGTGCCAACGACAACAACAGCACCATCCTACAACATGAACAAGAACCACGAAAAGCATCATGATCGATCAACGACAGCATGCGCTCCTGACTTGCCATACTGTAGAGCCATCACCACGAAATCATGCAACAACACGAACCCTTCCTCCTCCCTTGCTGCCAAATCAAACGACGTGGTCTGCAGGAAGGAGACGAGGACGAAGGGGGCATCTTTTTCTAGGGGGAATGGGGGGGGCGNAGAGAGAGAGAGAGAGAGAGAGAGAGAGAGAGAGAGAGAGAGAGAGAGAGCACGAGGATGTTTTGTCAGCACACTCGGGCGACAACAGAGGATGGGGGAGGGGGGCGCCGTGCTGCCATGATGTTTAACATCTCCCTCCTTTCGACACCGGAGGAGGTTATAATCTAACCTCGCATCCGCGTTTGTTGGCGGATGGGACGGATCCCTTTAGCTGCCCATTCAAACACTGGCGGGTATCCTTAGATGGGTGGGCCGGAGGGGAGGGGTCGGTGAGTTTGGTCGTTGGGGG